ACACACATTCTCTCACACACACGCTGTCACACATACTGTCACACACATCACACACATTCTCTCACACTCCAGTCACACCTATTGTCTCACACACACCTTACACAATCACACTGTCACACATCTTCTCTCACACACACAGTCAACGCTCCATCCATGTCACACATACCCTGTCACAGTCACACACACCATCACGCATGCTCACACGGTCTCACACACATTCACATGCCTGCTCTCACACACATACATTTTCTCTCACACATACATACTCAAACACACATTCTCTCTCTCACAGGACTGCGTGGACACGGGCAGGTACTCTGGGGACTGTGAGCCCCCAACAGGGGTGAAACACCATGTCACACGAGCACTCCTTCAGGGAAAGGACCCAAAGAGATCTCCGGCCTCCCAGAGGGGTCCCCGGGTGCAAACCTCTATCCTAGCAGAAGGGCTTGTCCACCAACAAGCCCGCCACCTGTAACCAAGGGCTGTCATCCACTCCTTCAATCCCAGAATGAGGCAGTGCCTCAGGCCAGCCCCCCTGGGTCAGAGGACAGGCTTCCCTGGTCAGGCTCCACAAAGAACCATGGACTCAGTCATTCAACAAACATCCGTGAAGTGTCACTCACTCTAGGCCGGATGAAGAGCCTCTGCAGCTACAGGGTGCATGCAAATGGGTGGGGCAAGGGCCAGCTGGAGTCCCGGGGCGGCCCTGTGCCTTACTGCGCTCACCCAGGAGAGCAGGGCTAAGACAGGGGGTCTAGGAGGCTGGGACAGGACAGTGGCCACCCACCATGGAACGAGGCTAAAGCCCAGCAGTCATCACAGGTGGGCACAGCGGGGCCAGACCAAGAAAGGGATGGGGTCCCAAGAGACATTCACCCAAGATGCCTACGCAGCCTCCGGGAGTAGAGTCTGGGAGGTGCAGGGAAGGGGGCCATGTGGCTGCCAGAGACAGGGGCCCAGGACACGGGTGAAGCCTAAGCTTGCAACCAGCTGCGTATGGGAAGCTGGCTGGACACTGGAAACAGAAGCACAGGGAAGAAGAAATCCAGGCTGACTGTTGCGAAGTCACAAGAGCAAGGACAGTGGGAAGCAGCCTTCCTGGGCCATTACCCCAGTCTCCCAACCCCACACCACAACACACTAAACACCATCCAGGTGGGGGCTACAGCCCAGTGCCCACCCAACCTGTAGGAAGGGTCCCTGGCTCAACAATGGGCAGACCAAGTCCACAGTTCCAACAAAAATGCCACAAATATCAACCCTCCAAAATCCCATTCCCACGGCGCATGTGCAAGGGACAAAAAGAAACACAATCGACCACATTCTGGAAAAATATTCAACTTCACCAATAATCTAAAGAAACGCACCATTCTTCCCCACCGAAATTAGCAATAGTCTTTTTTAGGCACTAAGGTACTGGACGTCAAGATCTATGAGAACACAGAGACCCAGTTTCTACCCATCACACTTGGTCACTCATTCGCTTATTTACCAAACACCTACTAAGCGCCAGGTCCCACACTACATATAGGGAACAATGAACTAGATAAGGCAGTTACTCCCTCCAAGACTGAGGACTGAAGACTTGGAGCCAGCCTGTTCCTAGGAACCTATTCTTAGAAAACGACTCAAAATATCAGGAAGGTGAAACGCACAAAAATATTCAATGCAACGTTCTAAACACAAAAACATCAGAGAAGGGGGAAAACGCCCACGAGAGGAATGCTTGGCTGAACTATGGTGTGTGCTCTAGACAGAATAGTACAGGCCGTGAAAAAATTATATAAAGATTTCACAAAAGGGGAGAGGGAGAAAACCCACACTGTAAGCGTGAAGAACGCAGGGACCAGCATTGGGTGTGCTCTAGGAACCCTGCCCATACAAGCAATCACAAAGGAAAATGAATCCAGGGAAAGATCTGGAAGTGTTCAGGATATTGGGAAAAGAGAATAATAATCCCTTTCCTTCTTCCTCCCTTCCTGCATTTTACACATTTTTCTATGCGCATGATGGAAAAAGCAATAAACTTTTAAACAGTAGCCACAGCCCACAAGTGGATGAAGGACAAAGGGTAGCAGGAGGGCGGGGAGAAGGGGGTGCAAGGAGGCCGAGACAGGTAGAAATGGAAAGCAAAGGTGGACGGGATTGGGGAGGCGAGGGCGGAGCGTGGAGAAGGTGAGAGGTGGGACCCAAGACCCACCTTTGACGTTGCTCAGCGACAGGGAGCGCTCCTGGTCTGCCAGCCCAGGCCCCAGCCGGCCACTGCCGCCACTGTCCTTCTGCCGGGCCACGGCCACCGCAATGCCCACGGGCGGGTGTCGCACCTCTGCCTCTCCCTGGGCACCAGAGCCCTCGCGCCCGAAAGCCTTGGCGCTCTCGGGCCTCTCCGGGTCCCGCTTCAGCTGCCGGCCTCCACCGGCCGCAGGGCCCCCCGGGTGTGGCAGGCGGGCCTGGGCGCGCGGGGCGCCCGCGGTGGTGGGGGCAGGCTCGGGTTTCATGGTGCCCAGGCCTCCAAAGGGGCTCTTCTTGCCGCAGCCGCCAGGGCGCACGGCCACGGCCTCGCGGGTGAAGCTGCCGCTGTACTTGATGAGGCTCTGCATGGCCGAGGCCTCCCCGGGCCCGTGGGCCGCGGCGTGCACGTCGGCGCCCGGCCTGGCGCAGGCGG